AACAGTTGGAGAACGTGGGATAGGCTGGGGGGGGAGGGTGGGGGGGGTTGAAGGGGTGAAAAGCAGGCTGGGCGATGCTGCCACCTCCCACTCATGATGTGGCAATTGTGGCCAAGGGGGGGTGCTCTGGGCTACTGCTTTTGAGACGTCTCAAAGACCACCCACTCAATCCACTCCACCCCACTCCACTCCAATCCACTCCACTCCACTCCGCTCTCCTCCATCAGAGGCAAGCCTCCCCTGATCATCTCCACAGAGCTGTCTGAAGGCCAAAGCGGGAAGTTCGGAAGTGTTCGGGGGTATTCGGACCTCCCTGAACAAGCTGTGCAGGGTCCGCCTTGGGGCGCCTCAAAAACAGGGCAAGCCCACACCCCACACCTCACACCCCACACACCACTCACCCAAACAGCCATTCACACCACTCACCCACACAGCCCACTCACCCCACTCACCTGCACACCAGGAGAGGTCATTCGTATAGCTGCCGTTCAAGAAAGTGACAGAAACGAAAGGAACAGGAATAGGGGGGCGGGGGGGGGGGGAGAGGGGTAAAGAGAAATGTTTCAGGGCTTAGGTCTAAAAGCTTGTGGTTTGGTGGGGTATGAACAGAAGTCAGAAGGCCCGTGCGAAAGGGGTTTAATAGGTCATCGTCAGCATTGGTGCTGTTGAAGAGAGTGACTGCAGAAACGAAGGGGTTGAGAGCGGCATCAGAGTGGTTGAGAGGGGTTAGAAGGGGTACAGGAGGGTGTGGAAATTTGAGTCTAGAAAGAAAAACGTAGCGGGAGGATTCAGCGAGGAGAGAACACTGGCAGTGAGAAGACAGATGCTGACCAATAACTGGACGTTTCTTGTGATGACAGTAGTGTGAACATTCATGTTGAAGCTGCAATGACAAGTTGGTACGCCCAAGTGTGGTGCACATCCAGCCATCAGTTTTGCTGTTCTTGACTATATGGGGGATCCTAGAACATTCCCAAAGGACCAGCAAGAGCTCCTGACCAACTACACCAACTTGGGATCAAATGGGGCTCTCTCAGATTTCACACTGATCGAACCTATCAAGAATATAACATTCATTGCACAAATGATTTACATGAGCATACTCTCCACATAGGCTCTAAAGGACTTACAATCCAATGGCCAACCAACATCAGACTTGACCCTTGACTTGATTACAATCAACGAGGAGTTCCTGCGCGGCTAGTTTCTCTCGAATGTCAGTCCATGCATGGACCGGAGTCCATAGCGCAGTGCACGGGACATGCTGTCGAGCGCTTGCTTGCACCCTTTGATATCCAAATCCTGCAGCACCTTTAGCTCGGTCAAATCCTCTGGCAACGCCTTCAACTGCTCACAGTCAGAGAGACTGAGTGTTCTCAGCCGGCTGAGCTGTGCAAACCTGGGAGGAAGGGAGCTGATGGAAGTGCTGTCAAGTCTAAGCAGGTAAAGGCAGCAAAGCTTCGTGAGTGAAGATGGCAGCTTCTGCAGGGCCCAACACTCTGATAGATCCAGCTTACGCAACCTGGATAAAGCACCGATGCCATCAGGGACCGACGTAAGCTTGGGTGCAAGGACCTTCAACGATGTCAGGTGCCGGAGCTGTGAAACCGTTTCTGGCAACTCCCGAAGCTCCTCAAAGTGACATACTCGCAATTTTCGCAGCTGCAGCAATGCGGAACCGATGCTTCCTGGAAGGGTCCGAATCCTTTCACCATGCCAGATGCTCAAGACTTGGAGCTGAGAAAGTGGTCCCAAGGAAAAAGGAAACTCTGTAACATTGTCTGCCAACCTCAGCTCCAAGTGCCTTAAACGAGACAGGTGGGAAATGCAGGACTGGAAATCTGTCTGACCATTGTCCTTCCAAATCAGGACCTCAAGGGAGAGTGGCAGTAACATCGGAAACTCACACAGTCGTCCACACCATGTTACCTCCAACCTCTTTAGCTCCCCAAGGCCGCTTAGCCTTCTTGGCAGCACCGAGAGCTGATGACACCACGAAATGGTCAAGGCTGTGAGCTTTCTGAGCCGTGTAACAGATTCTGGAATCTCGATGAGAGAAGAGCAGTTCCGAATGCAGAGATGCTGCAGGTTAGTCAGATTGTACAGACACTCAGAAACATAAACAACTGAGGAACCGCCAAGCTCAAAACTTGTTAAAGAAAACAGCTGCGCTGAAGGGGGGAGCTGCTTCTGCTTGCAGTTTTCCCAGTAAAGAGTCTCGAGGTTACAGAGCCATCCAATCCAATTTGGAAGCACCATCTTCCCATAGTGCATGAGGCTCAGAGTCTTAAGAGATGTGAGACTGCAAAACTCTGCTGGCAGATGCATCTTGCCGCAGTCATGCAGGGACAGCGTCTCCAGATTTGAAGCTTGGCAAAGGGAATCAGGTGGGTTTAAACCAGACAGGCTGTGCAGCATCAACGACTTGAGGGCCGGAAGCTCTCCGAAGTCGTTGGACAAGCTGCGAAGCTCGCTGCAGCTGAAAATGGACAAGCACTCCAATGCACTCAGGGAAGTGATGCTATCAGGAAGTTGCTCGAGCTTATAACAATCCTGAATGGTTAGTTCACGGAGGCACGGGAACAACTCTCCAAAGTCGTCTGGGAGCCGCTGGAGGTTGGTGGAATTGGAGATCACCAGCTGTTCTAAAAGGATGTACGGTGATCCTGTAGAGAACATTGAAGTGAAATTCGAACTAGAGACTAGGAAATCGAGTGTCTTCAGATAAGGCAGCTGCGCAGCTGTGAAAGTTGCAGATGGTGGATCATTCTTGGATAGCGGAATCTCACTGGAGATCGAGAGTACAGAAAGTCTTGAGATGCGAGCGAGACTTGACAGTTGCTGACGTGTCAATTTTGAAACAGCAATATGGAAAGAGGTGAGAGAGGGTAGCGTTGCAAATCTGGGAAGTGTCACGGCTGAAACGTCGGTTAGAAGAACCGTGTGGAGATGTTGCAGCTGAAAGAAAGAATCTGGCAACTCCGTATCTTTATGAAGGCAGTGAAGCGAAACCTCCTCCAGCTGGGTGCACTTCTGAAAGAGATTCTCCAGACCTGCTTCAGTAACCGGGTGCTCACTTTTGCTTCCTCCACACTCCGTTGCAGTGATCCTGCGTCCAACGTGAAGAGCTTTCAGCTTAGGCCGTGAGGAAGCAAGGCGAGCGAGGAAAGCGTCGTCAATAATCTCGACACTTCCGTCGCTCAGGTGAAGACTCGTGAGGTTGTCAAAGCAAGCCACTGCGTTCGCCAGATCTGGACGAGATATGACGCGGTTTTCACGGACTGACAGGCCGGTGACGTGACGCTTAACGAGGTGACGCCAACGACTGCATACGGATGCGATGAGCAGATTAAATGCTGCATCTGCCAAGGCTGGAGGAGTAACTTTATCTGCCTTAAAATGCCAACGCGGAAGCAAATACCACGGAGTAGAACCACGTTGAAAAGGCATTTCATTCTGAAACCATATAATCCTCGTAAGTAGGTCATCTGAGAGACGATTGATGTGTGCGAGATCCATCTACACCTTCACGGATTAACCCTACGGACGGCCAAGAAAGGTACGAAACGTTATCTCCTTCGCCAGAGCTAAGATGACAAGGGATGAAGAGAGTCTGCTCATACACGGATCTCAAAATCTCAGATCCACATTCATTCTCGACTATAAATTTCCAAAAAACGCAGATCCTTCGCTTGCTGACCTGCGGTTTGGATGTAAGCAAGTACGCGCCGTGCTTGTGTTGTAGAAGAGCTGCGGATCTTAGGGAGCTCCTTACGACTTGTCGAAGCTGGGCATGGCGGTTGATGTGTTTTCCTATTCTCGAGATCGTTCATGGCTAGACCTGATCAAGCATCAGGCGACAGCTTTCTTGGCTTCATGGGATCACCTACAGCAAGCCCAGCTGACTGGATTTCGCGCTGGACGCAGTTTTGCTTGACAAGGCCTGGGCTACGAGAATCTGAGAATGTGTTCACAAGATGAATCCGGGGACCCCGTACATATAGCCTTGAAACTACAAGGTTGGGTTACACGTACCCTTTAAACAATTCGGACAGTTTTCGATTTTGAGTCCTTCAAGCGAAGGTAATTGAATTTGTTCCCTCAGACCTCGATTTAAGCACACACCTCACTTCGAAAAGCTCTCTGAGCGTCGAGGCGAAATCCGTGTAGCTTGAAACACTACCCAACCGTTCTGGTTCTGTCATGAACCAACCGTGACCACGCAAAAAATCTCAACAAACCACAATGAAGGAACTAGTCACCCTGAATTCACTGCTTCCTCAGACCCTGCCCGTCAGAAACTGGCTATGCCGTTCAAAAGCCGTTTAGGCGGCGATGCTCACCACCATAGGCCGAGTCAATCGCGGTTTGTCGCAGGCTTCTACATTACTTACGCATCTACCCCTCCTCAATTCTCACTTACGCTTACGGCAACTCGTCGGTCTAGGTCGCATCTACCCCTCCTTAATTCTCACGAATACCAGTCGTTAGCACGCAGACACTTGTGAACTGACCGGCTGCGTTCGGCCTTGCTTGTCATACAGCTCTCGGGGTGTGCTCGTTTCACATTCGAGTACAGTCACGGCATCGTGCATACACAATTCGACGTTCCCGATATCGTCGTGCCTAGTTAGAATCCCTCGACGTTCGTCCGAGAATTCAGAATACTAGAAAATCCGACATCTCGGGTATGGTCGTGCCTGATTAGGATCCCTCGGCGTACCTGCGATCGAGTAAAGGACGATGGACGTATGATGAGCTGAGGTAGCCTTTCTCAGAGTAATTTTCAAGGTTCAGAGCTTCTTGATTGATTTAGGATAGAGCGTGTGTGAGCAGGTTTAGACGCGTTAGCATCACTTGGGCTAGGGAACTAGCAAGTAACCGTATCAGGCAGCAGCATTAGCCTTAATTCCTTTCAAGGTGGCTTCTTGAGTCAACCAGGGGGAGGTAATCGGCTTGCGGGAAGCAGTCCGGTGCAGTTTGGTACAGTCCGGTGCAGCATGGCTAACTCTCTGGAGGATCTCGAGAAAACCCTCGAGGTATCTGGCTCGGCGCGTTGCTGATTCTGTAGCTCTGGCTCGAACGCTGGCTCGGCACGCTGCTGACTCGCTTTGCCGCTCTGCACGCTGGTTCTTCTGTGTCATTGTGCAGAACACTTCAAGGTTTCGGATGCAGCTGCACCTCCGTGTGTATGCGTCTCCTCCCTCTCTCTCCCCTCCATACCACCTCCCAGGGGCACATCTCAGGCCTCCACGCCTCCATTCACAGCCACCCACCTCTTGCCTCTTACTCCTATTCACCCCGAGTACACCCACAATTTTTTTCACAGCCAATTCACTGCTGTTTCTTGTCCTCCCTCCCTCAAGCCAGACCAGTTCTCGGTGCATATATCAGCTCCCCGACCCCCCTTGTTCTCTGTCCTCTCCCCCTCCAGAGACCAGCGTCTAGATGCACGTGTCAGGTCTCCAGGTTCATCCTGAGGCACTTCAAAAGTCGCCTGCGCATATGTGTCCTCCCCTCCCTCCCTCCAGTCCAGACCAGTTCTCAGGTGCACATACCAGGCCTCCACCCCCCATGCACAGCCACCCCTTTCGCATGTGTGTCCTCTCCTCCTTCCCCTCCCTCCCTCCTTCCCCTCCCTCCCTCCTTCCCTCCCTCCCTCCCTCCCTCTTCCCCTCCAGACCAGTTCTCAGGTGCATATATCAGGTCTCCACCCCTCCATCGACAGCCACCCCCCTGCTCCCGCCACCACCGCTGCTCTCCCCATCCCACCCTCCGCACGCCCCTCCGCCTCTTCCTCCGCCTCCTCCCCCTCCCCCTCCCTCTCCAGCTCCCCCGCAATCCGCCCCTCCGCCATCTCCTCTGCTTCCGCCTCCCACCCCTCCTCCCTATTGAACTCAACGTCCTTCTCTCTCGACCGCTCGTCACTGACGTCTCTGATTGGTGCACATGGCAAGGAGCCGTTCCTTATTGGTGAGTTGATTCGTCCTTGTCCCCCATACTCACTCCCTCCACTCCGCCTCACTGCTTAACTCAACGTCCTTCTCTCTCGACCGCTCGTCACTGAGATATCTGATTGGTGCACATGGCAAGGAGCCGTTCCCCATTGGTGAGTGAGCAGCTCGATCAGCAGCTGCCGCTTTCCCTCCATCTGTCATTCTCGTCTGGATTCCCCACACATCAATCACCTATACCCACACACATCTCACCCTTCAGTTCCAGGCGTGTCAGGGGGTACAGCGTCGGGCAAGACGACGGTGTGTGAGCAGAGCAGATCATTCAGCAGCTGCTGCTTTCTTCCGCTGCATTATGCTCTCCTCTCTCTTCCCCACACATTCTTGGACCTCTCTCCTTCCGTTCTACACCAGGAGTGTCAGGGGGAACGGCGTCGGGCAAGACGACGGTGTGTGAGCAGATCATTCAACAACTGCACGACCACCGAGTGGTGCTGGTGCACCAGGTAAGATGCGGTTCAGTGCGGTGCAAAGTGGTGCATAATGAAAGAGAGGAGTGGCGATTGTGAGCCAGGGACGATTTTGGAGGCGCCTCCAAAGCAGTACTGCAGTCACCCAAACTCTCTGCTTGCGTGCGTGCTTCCTTGCTTGCTTTCTGACAGGACTCCTTCTACCGAGGGTTGACAGAAGAGGAGCTGAGGCATGCCAGCGACTTCAACTTCGACCATCCTGGTATGGCAGCACAGGCCCACTCTTATATGCACAGCTCAGTCGTGTATGCGTATGGTGACACTCTACGCTGTGATGCTGGCAACCACACCCCACCCCGTTCCTTGCAAGTTGACAGAAGAGGAGCTGAGGCATGCCAGCGACTTTAACCTTCGACCATCCTGGTAAGTTGACGTTGGTATGGTAACCAGCCAATTTCCCACTTCCCTCCCCAAATGCCTTTGACACGGTCAACCCCTGTGGACTCAAGGAGGGGCAATTGGTGCAGATCCCCATTGCAGTACCCCTCCCTTCCTCTGCCCCTCTTTTCCCGCTCGTCCCCTTCACCCTCCTCAGATGCCTTTGACACCGATGCACTGCTCTCAACCATCGTTGCCCTCAAGAAGGGCCGGTCGGTGGAGATCCCCATGTCTGTCTAGCTGCCCCCTCCCTTCCTCTGGCTGCTGCCGCTTCCAACCCCTCCTGATCCCTCCCCTTCCCGTCGCCTCCCCACTTCCCCTTCAGATGCATTTGACACGGCTGCACTGCTCTCAACCATTGTTGCTCTCACGAAGGGCCAATCGGTGGAGATCCCAGTGTCTGTCTGTCCCCCTCCCTTCCTCTGCCTATTGCCACCTCCAACCCCTCCTCCCTCCCGCCCTTCTGCAGATGCCTTTGACACGGACGCGCTGCTCTCAACCATCGTTGGTCTCATGAAGGGCCGGTCGGTGGAGATCCCAGTGTCTGTCTGTCTGCCTTTGACACCATCGTTGGTCTCAAGGAGGGCCGGTCGGTGGAGATCCCAGTGTCTGTCTGTCTGGCTGCCCCCTCCCTTCCTCTGGCTGCCCCCTCCCTTCCTCTGGCTGCTGCCGCTTCCAACCCCTCCTCCCTCCCGCCCTTCTGCAGATGCCTTTGACACGGACGCGCTGCTCTCAACCATCGTTGGTCTCAAGGAGGGCCGGTCGGTGCAGCTCCCCATGGCTGTCTTCCTCCCTTCCTCTGCCCCGCCCCCTTTTTCCCCCAAAACCCTAAACATTAAGCCTCTTCCGGTCCCCCTTTTCCTCCCTTCCTCTTCAGACGCCTTTGACACGGATGCACTGCTTTCAACCATCGTTGCTCTCAAGGAGGGGCAATCCGTGGAGATCCCAGTGTACGACTTCAAGACACACCAACGGAGCACGGCTGTGAGGAAGGTGAGGGCGAAACCTTACTCCTTAACTCTTACTAAGATCTTGATGCATTTTTTGTCTCACTCTCAAGGAGGGGCGGTCGGTGGAGATCCCAGTGTACGACTTCAAGACACACCAACGGAGCACGGCTGTAAGGAAGGTGAGTGTGAGAGAGGTGATTGCCTGCATAGATAGTGCAAAATCACCCCCTCACTGCTCTCAACAAGGAGGGCCGGTCGGTGGAGATCCCAGTGTATGACTTCAAGACACACCAACAATCCATGGCATGGCCGTGAGGAAGGTGGGTGGAAGGAGTGCCAGCATATGATATGAGAGTGTGTGGTGGTGTGTTTGTGTGTGCGTGCACCATCGTTGCTCTCAAGGAGGGCCGGTCGGTGGAGATCCCAGTGTATGACTTCAAGACACACCAACAATCCACGGCCGTGCGGAAGGTGAGCGTGAGGGAGGGGAGCATGTGGGTGGGAGGTGTCCGGCCAGCTGTGATCGTGCTGGAGGGCATTCTGGTGCTCCACGATGTGAGGGTGCGAGGGCTGATGGACGGACGGACACAGTATCTTCTCTGTGGCTGGATGCACATACACACACAGGGATGCACTCTCATGCATGCTTGCATGCATGCATAAGCTGGCTGCATACATTCTGCTAACCCTCCCCTCCCCCCTCTCCCCCCACCAGACCAACCCTGCGGATGTGATTGTGCTGGAGGGCATTCTAGTGTTCCCCGACGCGAGGGGGCAAGCGCTGATGGACGGACACAGTCTCTTGTCTGTGGCTGGATGCACATACACACACAGAGACAACCCTGCGGATGTGATTGTGCTGGAGGGCATTCTAGTGTTCCCCGACGCTGCTTTTGCAGATTCAACTGCCTAACGTCCTCCGCCTCCTCCCCATACCCCCCTCCCTTCCCTCCACTCACCCCCTCCCCACTACCCAACGAGCATCAGATGTGATTGTGCTGGAGGGCATTCTAGTGTTCCACAACGCGAGGGGGCAAGCGCTGATGAACTTGAAGGTCTTTGTGGATACGACCCCTCAGGCCCCGCCCCCCCTTTTCCCTTGCCCTCCACTCTCTCCCCCCACCAGACCAACCCTGTGGATGTGATTGTGCTCAAGGGCATTCTGGTGTTCCACGACGCGAGGGTGCGGTGCGGGCGAGCGCTGTCTGTTCCATACTCACCCCGCCTTCCTTTTCCTCCCTTCTTTTCCCACAGACCAGCCCTGCGGACGTCATCGTACTTGAAGGCATCCTAGTATTTCACGATGCGAGGGTGCGGGCGCTGATGAACGTGAAGATCTGCTTTCGTGGATACACCCGCCCTTCCCCCCTCCCCTCTGCACCTTGCCCCGACTTCCCCCTCCCCATCAGACCAACCCTGCAGACGTCATCGTACTTGAAGGCATCCTAGTATTTCACGATGCGAGGGTGCGGGCGCTGATGAACATGAAGATCTACGTGTGGATACAGATGCCCTTATACCTACGCTTTCATGCACACATAAACGCTGAACTAAACCATGTGCGGCATACCGCTGACCCCCTCCTCCCCTCTGCCTCCTCTCAGACCAACCCTGCAGACGTCATCGTACTTGAAGGCATCCTAGTATTTCACGATGCGAGGGTGCGGGCGCTGATGAACATGAAGATCTACGTGTGGATACAGATGCCCTTATACCTACGCTTTCATGCACACATAAACGCTGAACTAAACCATGTGCTGCATACCGCTGACCCCCTCCTCCCCTCTGCCTCCTCTCAGACCAACCCTGCAGACGTCATCGTACTTGAAGGCATCCTAGTATTTCACGATGCGAGGGTGCGGGCGCTGATGAACATGAAGATCTACGTGTGGATACAGATGCCCTTATACCTACGCTTTCATGCACACATAAACGCTGAACTAAACCATGTGCTGCGTACCGCTGACCCCCTCCTCCCCTCTGCCTCCTCTCAGACCAACCCTGCAGACGTCATCGTACTTGAAGGCATCCTAGTATTTCACGATGCGAGGGTGCGGGCGCTGATGAACATGAAGATCTTTGTGGATACAGATGCCGACGTGCGATTGGCCAGGAGGATCCGCAGAGATACGCTGGAGCGAGGCCGAGACGTGCAAGGGGTGATTGACCAGGTGTGACTATAGTGAGGGGTGATTGATCAGGCGTAGTTGTAACGAGGGGTGTTGTAGAGAAAGGTGGTGGAGTGGGGCAGGGTGCAGGGGGAAAGAGCAATACATGGTTTCGGATTCTGAAGCAAAACCTGACATTGCGGCAGCTTCTGTTTTCCTTCCTAGCATTTCCTTCCTCTTTCGATCATTACCCCTCTCACATTCTTTCCGCTTTGCCAAGCAAGATATTGAGTGCTCTTTGCCTTTTCCTTCCTTCTCATTCTGCTTTTCCTTCCCTGCCCTCCCCTTCCCTTCCCTTCCATCCCTGTCATCCAGTACGCTCGTTTCGTCAAGCCAGCCTGTGATGATTTCGTGCTGCCCTCCGAAAATGCCGACATCATCATTTCCCGAGGGGGTGACGACAACCACGTGGCAGTGAACCTTCCCTTCCCATCATGACATCATCTAATCTCATCATGCCTTCCCTTCCCTTCCCGTCCCTTCTCCTCCCTTCCCGCCCCGCCCCTTCCCTTCTTGACCATCCTGTCTGTCCCCTTCCCGTCCAGTACGCTCGTTCCGTCAAGCCAGCCTTTGACGATTTCGTCCTTCCCTCCAAGAAGTTTGCCGACATCATCATTCCCTGGGGCGGTGACAACCACGTGGCAGTGAACCTGATCGTGGCTCTCGTTCCCTCACCATCCCATCCTGACTCCCCTTTCCTTTCCTTTTCCATTCCCACCCCTTCCCTTCTTCCCTTCTTCCCTTCCCTTCCCTTCCCTTCCACCCCTCTCTATCCCCTTCCCTTACTCCAATCCAGTACGCTCGTTTCGTCAAGCCAGCCTTTGACGATTTCGTGCTGCCCTCCAAGAAATTTGCCGACATAATCATTCCAAGAGGGGGAGACAACCACGTGGCAGTGAACCTGATAGTGCAGCATATAGGGTCCAAGCTGGGGCAGCATGACCTGAGGAAGATCTACAGCAACGTACACGTTATAGAGTCAACATTCCAGGTAAGAACACTTGGGGGAGCTGGTAATGCAGCATGTCTGCTGGGGGGTCCAAGCTGGGGCAGCAAGACTTGGGGGAAGGTGTGGTGAGGGGCGGTGACAACCACGTGGCAGTGAACCTGATAGTGCAGCATATAGGGTCCAAGCTGGGGCAGCACGATCTCAGGAAGATCTACAGCAACGTACACGTTATAGAGTCAACGTTCCAGGTGTGTGGCGTGGTGTGGTGTGGGGATCCCGTGGTGTGGTGTGGTGTGGTGTGGTTTGACGGTGTGCCTCATCCACAAAGGACCATTGCTATCCTTCTTTCCTTTCCTCCCCCTCTTCCTCTCCCCCTATTTCCCCCCTCCACCCCTTCTGTTACCAGGTGCGGGGCATGCACACGCTCATTCGCAACAGAGATACCAAGAAGCACAACTTTGTCTTCTACGCCGATCGCCTCATTCGCCTCGTAAGTCCCCTCTTGAGACGCCTCTAACCGTTCTGTTTGGACTCTCTCACCACTCACCCCACCATCTCATGCTCTCACCCATGCCACCAAGAAGCACAACTTTGTCTTCCATGCCGACCGCCTCATTCGCCTCATAAGTTCCTCACACCACACCACCACACCACACCGCACCGCACACCCATCTCGTGCTCTCACCCATGCCACCAAGAAGCACAACTTTGTCTTCCATGCCGACCGCCTCATTCGCCTCGTAAGGCGTTGCATAGATTAACCATCCTCTTGTGGAGAGACACAACTTTGCCCCTAGAAGCACAACTATGCCATCTGTCTTGCTCTTCTCCTTAACCTTGTCCTTCCCACTCTTTTTCATCCCTCCACTCTTTGTCTTTTACTCTTTTCCTCTATCAGCGAGTGGGGCATGGGTCGGGCGTAGTGAGGTGCATTTTGAGGCGCCTCAAAATGCACCTCACTACACGCTTTTTCATCCCTCCACTCTTTGTCTTTTACTCTTTTCCTCTACCAGCTAGTGGGGCATGGGTCGGGCGTAGTGAGGTGCATTTTGAGGCGCCTCAAAATGCACCTCACTACACGCTTTTTCATCCCTCCACTCTTTGTCTTTTACTCTTTTCCTCTACCAGCTAGTGGGGCATGGATTGGGCCTCCTCCCGTTCACTATTCATTGCCCGATTATTTTCAGTCTTTCTCCCTCTGTTTACCCTCCTCTTCCCCGTTTCTTTCCCTTCCTTCCCACCACCACCACCATCAGCTTGTGGAGCATGGGTTGGGCCACCTCCCGTTCACTGAGATTCAAGTCACCACCCCCACAGGTAAGTAGCATTGCATTGTCATCCGAAAATAGGAATTGACGCAGTTGAGCTGCTGTTTGTAAACAACTCGTAAGCCAACTCAAAAGATACACGACAGACAGGCCATCGTCTTTTCACTGCAATTCAATTTTCACCATCCCCTCCTCCCATCCACCTCCAGGGTCCACAAATGTGGGATGACTTTTGAGTCGACTCAAAAGTCAACTCCTCCCATCCACCTCCAGGGTCCACAGATGTGGGATGACTTTTGAGTCGACTCAAAAGTCAACTCCTCCCATCCACCTCCAGGGTCCACAGATGTGGGATGACTTTTGAGTCGACTCAAAAGTCAACTCCTCCCATCCACCTCCAGGGTCCTCAGATGTGGGATGACTTTTGAGTCGACTCAAAAGTCAACTCCTCCCATCCACCTCCAGGGTCCTCAGATGTGGGATGACTTTTGAGTCGACTCAAAAGTCAACTCCTCCCATCCACCTCCAGGGTCCTCAGATGTGGGAATCAACTTCAAGAAGCTGTGTGGAGTGGGGTTGCAAACATTGCCTTCCCTCTCCCCCACTCCTCTTTCTTGCTTCCCGCCTCCTCCCCCCCCACTCCCCCCCCAAACGCAGGTTCCACATACGTGGGAATCAACTTTAGCAAGAAGCTGTGTGGAGTGTCCATCATTAGAAGGTAAAATTTGGAGGCGCCAAAGAAATCGTCATTCGCAGGTACATATGGTGCATGATACGTTTCAGAATTTGGGATGTCTCGATACTGAAATGTGAAGTGAATGTGTGGCACGAATTGTGTTGTGCATGCATCCTGGTGAAATGTATTGTATGTATGTGTGGCAGTGGCAGGAGCTTGGAAAACGCTCCAACAGCATGCTGCAAGGGACTGCCATTCTGATATTGTAGAATTCTCAAGAAACAGATTGTGCATGCATGCATGTTTGTGAAATGTATCATATGTTTCGGAAATGCACCCCTTGCATCATATCGCCGTTGGCGAGAGCATAGAAAAGGTGCTCCAACGGCATGCTGCCTTAACGTGTATGTCCCCCCTTCCCTTGGCAGAGACTGTCATTCTGATGTGTCCTTCTTTCTGCTTCATCTAAACCCCTGTGCCTTAACGTGTATGTCCCCCCTTCCCTTGGCAGTGGCGAGAGCATGGAGAATGCAATAAGAGAGTGCTGCAAGGGGGCGTTAGGGCTGATCTGTTAGGGTTCATCTAACCTCATGTGCTGCTATGCCCCTCCTCGGTATGCCTCTCTTGCATGGCAGTGGCGAGAGCATGGAGAATGCTTTAAGAGCGTGCTGCAAGGGAGTGAAGATAGGAAAGATTCTGATTCACAGAGAGGGGGACTATGGCAAGCAGGTTAGAAACAGATCCGGATCCTGTCTGTGTGAGCATGCATGTGTTGTGTGCATCATTATCTGTTTGCTTTTTGCATGCTGCAAGGGAGGGGTGCCTACAGCAAGCAGGTGAGGCGCAAACCACCCCTCTTTCTCCCTCCCTCTCTCTCCTCTCTGTTTCCCTGCTCTCGTTCATATGCACATGCATGCATACACTGGTGGTGCCTTTGGCACAACATGTTGATGCTGGCGTGAATCATTCCGAACCGGCGGCAAGCAATTTTAAAGGGAGTGAAGATGGGAAGAACGCCCATCCACAGGGACGGCGACTTTGGCAAGCAGGTGAGGCCTTTCCCCCTGTTGCACTCGTTATCATGTGTGTACAGTGCAGTGGTTGTGTGCAATGTGGGCATCTATGTGCATCCGTCTGAAAGGGAGTGAAGATGGGCAGAACGCCCATCCACAGGGACGGCGACTTTGGCAAGCAGGTGAGGCCTTTCCCCCTGTTGCACTCGTTATCATGTGTGTACAGTGCAGTGGTTGTGTGCAATGTGGGCATCTATGTGCATCCGTCTGAAAGGGAGTGAAGATGGGCAGAACGCCCATCCACAGGGACGGCGACTTTGGCAAGCAGGTGAGGTCTGATTTGCGTTCTGTTTCCCATTTCAAATGCCATTCAGCATGTGAGTATTCGAAAGACAATCCCCATCTCAAATGTCCTAAGCCTACTTGAAAACAAAGCTCCCATTTCATTTTTGCTTGAGAAGCGGGTAAGGCCCCTTCGCTCGTTGTGCATCGCAGCTCCTAGTTTATTCCACTTCCACATGTGTGTGCTATAAGTATCGTTTCCTTCCTTGCTGTGCATGCTCCTCCTCCCCTTCCGCCTCCCCTTGTCCCTCCCCCCGCCAGCTGCTATACGAGAAACTCCTCAAAGACAGCACTCAAAGGCATTGTTTTCCTCCATCACTCATACTCCACCTCCCCAGACATCGCCCCCTCCTCTCTCTCTCTCTCTCTTTCCATGCTCCCTGCCGACCCCTTTCCTCCTTCCGCCCTCTGCCATCCCCCCCACCAGCTCATATACGAGAAACTCCCCAAGGACATCGCTCAGAGGCATTCTTTCTCCTCCTTCCTCAAACCTTCCCTCCCTCGCTTCCCGTGCTCTTCATTTCTTACCCCCACCAGCTCATATACGAGAAACTCCCTCGGGACATCGCGCAGAGGCATGTGATGCTGCTTGATCCCGTGCTGGCGTCAGGTGAGGCCTCACACTCCGCCTCCCTCTCCCTGCACTTGAGTATGGGCGTACTCTCTCCCCTCTCCCCGCTCCCCCGAGACATCGCCCAGAGGCATGTGATGCTACTTGATCCCGTGCTAGTGTCAGGTGAGGCTTTAACTCCCTCCCTCGTCGCCTTGCACTTGAACGTGAGTGCTCGCTGTCTCCTCTCCCCAATGACATCGCAGAAGCATGTGATGTGGCTCGATCCCGTGCTGGCGCCAGGTGAGGCTTTAACTCCCTCTCTCCCCTCCCAAGGACATCACCCAGAGGCATGTGATGCTGCTCGACCCTGTGGTCGCCTCAGGTGGGTCTTGCTTCTCATGACGTTCCCTCCCACTCGTTGCTGCAGTGTGCATGATGCTTGAAAGCTCTCCGCACAGAGGCATGCGATGCGGCTCGACCCTGTAATGCTCAGCTTACCTTTTGCATCCTCCTCTGCCTTCCTTCCTTCCTATCCCCCCTATTCGCTCTCCCCTCCAGGCCGCTCTGCCATCAAAGCTATCGAGCTGCTGCTGCACCGAGGGGTCCCTGAGGAGCGAATCATATTCCTCAACCTCATCTCGGTAAGTTCATGATTAGAAGGGGTGCAGAGCGGTAATAAGTGGTGCAGAGAGCGGCTACCCCAGCTGCTGCTGCACCGAGGGGTGCCAGAGGAGCAAATCATCTTCCTCAACCTCATCTCGGTGAGTCTACATTAGGAGTGCAGAGCGGTAAGAAATGGTGAAGAAAGGAACTCTTCCTCTCCCCAGCTGATGCACTGACCGAGGGTTGCCTGAAGAGCGAATCATCTTCCTCGACCTTATCTCGGTGAGTTAATGAGTTAAGAGCGATGCAGAGCGGTAATTAGTGCTGAAGAGTGCGTTTAGCTGGGATGTTCCTCACCGCAGCTGCTGTTGCACTGACCGAGGGGTTACTGAGGAGCGAATTATCTTCCTCAATCTCATCTCGGTGAGATCACTGTAAGGAGTGCAGAGCGACGTGTCCACCTGTCTCGCCCCTACCTGTGCCCCAACCTCCCCCTCCCAGGCCCCAGAGGGCATTCACAACGTGTGCTGGCGCTTCCCCCACCTCAAGATCCCTCTGTCGTTTCTCTCTTCGTTCCTTCCCTGCTCCACCCCCACCTTCCTGCTCCCACCCACGCTCCAACCCCCCTCCCTTCCCCAGGCCCCAGAGGGCATTCACAATGTGTTTCAGCGCTTCCCCCTGCTGCAACACCCCTGTGTTGTTCCTCCATTCTTTCCTTAACCTCCCTCCCCCAGGCCCCAGAGGGCATTCACAAGGTGTGTCGGCGCTTCCCCCACCTCAGCATCCCTCTGTTGCTTCTTTCTTCATTCCAACCCCAACCACCCCCTCTCCCTCCCTCCAGGCCCCAGAGGGCGTTCACCATGTGTGCCGGCGCCCCACCTCAAGATCCATTCTCATCTTTGTTCTTTCTCCTGCCTTCCCTGCACCCACTCATCCTTCCCTCCCCCAGGCCCCAGAGGGCATTCACAATGTGTGCCGGCGCTTCCCCCACCTCAAGATCGTGACCTCAGAAATCGATTCGGGGATTAACGAGGAGTACAGAGTGGTGCCGGGGATGGGGGAGTTTGGGGACAGGTACTTTGGCACAGAGGAGGGGGATGCTGGGAGGGATGATGAGAGGGACGGTGATGGTGATGTTTTTGAGGCGTCTTGATGTGTGGGGAGGGGTGGAAGGTTGTTGCAGGGATTGAGGAGGAGTTGAAAGCGGTGCCAGGGATGGGGGAGTTCAGAGACAGGTACTTTGGCACAGAGGAGGGGGATGATGGGAGGGATGATGATGGTGATGGTCATGGGGATGGGGATGGGGATGGGGATGGGGATGGGGATGGGGATGGGGATGGGGATGGGGATGGGGATGGGGATGGTGATGGGGATGGTGATGGTGATGGTGATGGCGATGGCGATGGTGATGCTGATGCTGATGCTGATGCTGATGCTGATGCTGATGCTGATGGCGATGGTGATGGCAGGCAATGTGTTTGAGCATAATGAGGAGCGACGAGGGAGAGGAGATATGTTTTGCTTGCCCTTATTGTTGCCAATGCTGCTGTGGCTGTTAGTGCTGTCAGTGCCGGTTTAGTCCCAGTTTTAACCATTGGGACAGCATAAACATGATTTGTTGCACAGTTAACGAGAGCTGTTGCCCTAATACATAATAGTAGCTGATCCGTCGCTGTCAACTGGGAATGTTCTTTCCCTAATGGCCGGGTGGTCGGATGTCTTGCACAGTCATACGTCAGGTTGAACAAAAAAGAAATTGATTAACATGCAATAAAAACCTAGCATATCATTGAAATGCACATCACCATCAGAATTCTTAGGAGGTGCGATGACCCGCTGAACACTGTACTGGCTGCATATAAGCGCATTAACATCTGCCATCAAGTTCTTCTTTGACGGGTACAGATTGTGGTGTCGTGTCGACCAACAAACTTGGAGGATGAACTGAACAGACAATCCCTCTCAACATACGTACAGTACTCACGGCACGGGAAAATCGATGACCAGACACGAGACATGCTTCCGTACTGCAGAGAGACAGAGTGTGATGTGAATGTCGTGATGCAGAAATCGTGTTGCGCGAAAGTACTCGCGAAACTCGTTGACATTCGCTCGTTCGTCGTCAGCTGACAGTTGTTGCCAGGTTGTCTTGTCCACATGACCAGAGGGATTCCTTCCTCTGACCAGTCAAAAACTGTCGGCGCTGTGTTGATGTAGTTTTGTCAATGTTTCTCTGCCCGACATCTACACATCGAATCCTGAAGATGAAAACTGCTGGGGGGTTGTACATTCTACTTGACACTTATACTAGGGTACCAATCGGTTCGAAGGAGTGGTACGTAAACAATCTCTTGTTTCGGGCAGAGCCTGATTGTCGAAACGATGTTCCTGCTGTGCTGAAAAACGACGACTTCTTGTGAAAAAATTCCTCCCAATCTTTCCTGGGCTTGGTTGGTCTCCGCGGACCGCGACCCACACTGTTCAATGGTCTGACCAGTCTGCCCCTCACACTTCCGCCTAGGCTCTGCGCAGCGCGACCTTGGCTGTGTGTGCGCCAACTGAGAATTGCTCTCAAGTCTATTGGATAAATACCTGCACGCATTCCCTCATTCACCAGCAGAACGCATTTGAGCATCCTTTTACACACGCCCTGCACTCGTAGCTTGCATCTAAAATCGACTGTTCTTGGCGTAACTTGCTTCGATCGTCAGCCACGATGACGCGCGCCGGTCTTATCCCTCTCCTCGTCCTGCTCCTCGTCGCGCCTGGTATGCTCGTAGCTCAGAAAAACTCGTCTACTAAATTGGTCCAGTGGACGCCGACTGCTCAGCCTTGTTTGAATTAAAGTAGTTGGCCGGCGCTCCCTTCCTTGAATGTCAGACGCGTTACTTCGGGTGTCAATGTGTCAATATGGCTTTCAACGCGTCAACTTACAACATCCGATGTATTATTTTCTTGCGCTGCCTGCGCAGTTCTCGGTCACGGGGGTGGTGGTGGTGGTTTCGGCGGCGGAGGCCGCGGCGGAAGGGGCCCGCACGGCCCGCCGATCGACGCGTCCGTCACCGGGAATCTCACAGGTGCGATGAATGCACCGTCTGGCACGCATCCGTCCGCCAGATTCGTTCATCCCGTCACAATGCGATCCGAATACCTTTCTTCTGGAATTTCCGTTCACTATCGGATACCAAACGCGCGCTGGTCTCTTTCCGCCCCTCCCCGGAACCCCCACTCCCCCCTCCCCTCCCCTTCTTCCCCCACCGCCCCCCTTCTTTCCCCCCTCTCGCCCCTTCGTACCATCCGCAGGTCGCGTGGGCGCGTGGGTCTCCAACTGCACGACCGACATTGGTGCGACTCGCGGAAAGTTCTTGCTCGCGGTCTTTAAGGATGAGTCGCCGGGCACGCCCGTCTACAACCTCTATTTCGACGCGGATCTCGACGAGTACAGCGGCACCGCGCCCGACACGATCAGCATCGTGCAAGGCGCCGCGTGCGACTCGACCGCCACCGCCGCCCTCACTCTGCCGTCCACCGGCTGGGCCACCGAGACGCGCGGCGGGCGCGGCGGGTCGCACACGGAGCTGCGTGTGACGGGCACCGTGGAAGGCGCGGACGCGACGGTGGTCGAGGCGATTCTCGCGGGCGTGCCGAACGCGACGGTGACGCAGAACGTGTTCACCAAGGTGATCAACGGCGCGAAGCAGGGCTTCCAGAACGCCTTCGGCGGACGCCGCCGCGGGCGCGAGCTCGCGGGGAACAGCGCGGGGAAGCTGACGCAGCAGTTCCTGAAGCGCCAGCGCCAGCGCCTGGCGTGGATGGGCGCGAAGACCAAGGCGCTGTTCGCGACGTTCATCGGAACCACCGACACCACGACTGATTCGCCCTACGCTGTCATTTTCACCGACAGCACGACCGGCAACTCCTGGAGCGCCGCGCTCACTGGGAACTTCGGCAAGTGTGGCGGTCGCGGCGGGCGTGGTGGTAACGGGCCTGACGGTGACGGCGATGGCCCCGGTGGCGCCGGTGGCGCTGGTGGCCGTGGAGGCCGTGGTGGCCCTGGTGGTGGCTATTAGAGTGATGGTATGAACTCAACCGAAACGTGGAGGCGGATTTGATTCAAGCGTGGATCACGGAGAGGAGTGAAGCTAGCATGTCGGAGGAATGCGGCGTTGGGGGAGGGGACAATTGGGATGGGGATTAGACGGGAAGGGGGAGGGGAGAAGAGTGAGGGGAAGGGGGGATGGGGGGGTTGTGGGGGTTTGATCGCGTGGGGTCTTCGGTCGACTTTTTGAGAAACTTGGTGATGGACGCTTCTTTATTGTCCTCTAAAGTCGACCCAAGACAACCACTTATGTGTCTTTTTTGTTGAGTGGCAATATTTTAATTTGATCTCAGGTACATCACCCTTCTCCTAGAACATAATCAACTAAAACAAATCATGTGACGTACAATTGGTTATTACTCTGGAATCACAACCTCAGAGTGTCTTTTGGCTGCATGTTCCACTTAGACGCAAGCAGATTATAAAGAATTATGTTAATGTTACAATGCTTTTCAAAGAGAGCATCAACACCTCGACCTCACTGTTGCTTAGCTTTACTGAACCGCACTAGGAGCAGAAATGTGAAAAACCGTACTAACACTCCAAACCCCAGCAGCACCGCCACATTCTCCCACATGTCGAGCTGATTCACCGCCAATGTAGTTGTTAGCAGCTGCGGCCCGTCCCGCAGACACGTGCTTGTAGTGATTTTGTTATAAGGGGTACCAGCCAGCACCTGCCGCATCCCCATCATCGCCTTGTTGATCCTGGTTGCGTTTAGATATGGTGCCACAGGTGTATTGTCAAACATTGTGCCAGCTTCCAGGTAACATGGACCTCCGGTCCTGTTGAGGTAATTCAGGGAGGAAATGGAGATTGGGACAGGGGTTCAGGAGTGGGAGACGGTGGGGAAAGATGGTGAGGAGTGGGAGATGGTGGGGAAAGACTGAAATAAGGGAGATGGTGAGAAGCGATGCCATTTACATCATTCCACCCATACTAATCTCCCCAGGAAATGAATGCCGGTCGCTCACCTGCCAAACTCGTTGATTGCCAGGGCCTCATAAGCGTATTTCATGGGCGAGAGGTAGTGCAGCCACATCCACACTTCAGGGATGCTCTCCCTGTCGATGTAGAACCCGCTGAGCAGAGCGAAGTATGCCATAAGAGCGATGGCCACTGCATAGGCCAGCACCACACTGCAGGGAGAGAAAAGGATAGGAGGAAAGGGCAGGGAGGGGGAGGCGAATGAGGCTGGGAAACAGAGAGACGCGTCCGGGATGCTCTCCCTGTTGATGTAGAACCCACTGAGGAGAGCTAATTATGCCATGAGAGCGATGGCCACTGCATAGGCCAGGACGACGCTGAAAAGGGGTGAGGTATGATGACAAACAAGCGGAGGGGAAAGAAATGAGAGATGCTAAGTGGTTGACAAAGATGGAGAGGGGAAAGAAATGAGAGATGCTAAGTGGTTGACAAAGATGGAGAGGGGAAAGGTCAGGAGGAAAGAAGGGAAAGGATACTTCAACTTCACTGGTTCACTCAAAATGTTTTAAAGCAAGTCTGATCAGCACATTTCATAAAATTCGGAACTCACTGGTTGACACAGATGCTGACGCATGTGGCGAGGGCATTCCCGGTAAACAGCATCGCAAAACACGCGAGAACCATGAAGCAGAAGCCTTGTGCGCCGCCCTGCAGCCCCAAGCACCACCAGGCCTCGAGCACGAGCGTGAGCGCCATGAGCAGGTGGAGGGGGAGGTAGACGAGCGTGGAGGAGAGGAGGTAGGTGGATGGACGGTAGGCGCTGCTGCTGGTTTCTCGAAGAAAGATGTTTCGCTCCTGAGATGGGGCGGAGGGGGAGGATGACGCATGGGATGGGATGGATGGCATGAGAGGGCATGCCATATGTTGGAATGGCATAAGATGGCATAGTATGGGATGGCATGGTATGGGATGGCATGGTATGGGATGGCATGGTACGGGATGGCATGGTATGGGATGGCATGGTGTGGGATGGCATGGTATGGAATAGAATGGCATGGCATGGGAATAGGAAGGAACATGAAATCTATCGACAGCACACGCACCTGGATGAAAATGGGAACAGCATCACAGGAGACGAAGAAGAGCACGCAGATGGCGAAGGAGAAGAATGCGAGACGTTCCTGAAAGCCCTTCATGCTGCAACGGGGTGGGATGGGTGGGGGGGCATGGGGATGGATGGGAGACAAGGGAAGAGAGGGAGATTAGAAAAATTGCCCTCTGTTTTCCTCCAACTGTCTCGTACTTCTAATTCCCCAAGGTCCTTCATTTGAACTCACTCCATTATACTTTCTCATCCACTTCCTTCCAACCTTGAGTTTAGCTGTTTCTCTGTACCTGTCATTCGGTTGGAAGAAGATAGTCGCGAGCATTATCCCCGTTATAGCAATCAGGCCCAGCCGCAGAAGGTACAGCGCGGGCGTGCGAAACGTGATCAGGGCGTTTCGTCTCGTCAGCACCGCCAGCTCGGCGAACCATCCGTTTCCATACTTTCGCGTTTCGTCTGCCCCGCTTTCCCGTCGTCGCGTCTTCCCCCTTGCCCCTATTCTCCCCCACCACGTAGCCTTCCCGCTTTCGCCATCCCGATTCGCAACGCTCGTCTCCACATCCTCGTTACCGCCTCTCTCTTTTAGCGCGCTCGGAAGTTGGAAATATCTCGAGTTCCAAAAACTCGTCGTCGCGGTCGCCGCTCCTCCCGTTCTCGCATTTTCTGGCGATGCTGCTTCTGTGTTCAGGGCCTGCACTTGTAAAACACCCTCCGGTTGAGGGTTACACCGCAGCGCAGCCTCTTCTCCCAGCTTCCCTAGCTGCCTTTCCCGCTCCTCCTCTTCCTCTTGCTGCCTCTCATGTCCCCGGGCGAATTCCACCATATCCGCGACCCCGCGGCTCGACCGCTGCATATCCTCGATAAGATCCAGCGCGAACTCGGTGCTGTTAGCGAACTGCGGCACGGGAAACCCAGCCGACTCGAGGAAGCGCGGCAGCGCGGGAGGCGCGCCGTGAAATACGGCGTGGCCCGAGGCGAGGAGGATCAGGCGGTCCACGAGGCCGAGAACGCGGAAGCTGGGCTGGGAGGGGGAGAAAAAGGGGGTCGTTGGCGGATAAGGAAAGGTGAGGAGAATGGGGGATTGGGAGGGCGATGTGGGGAAGGAATAAGGGAGGCGCGCCGTGAAAGACGGCAAGCCTGAGAACGTGGAAGCTAGGAAAACGTTCCAGTTATCACAACAGATTCAAATTCCTCGTTTAAAACGCTGAAGGAATGGCACGGAAAGAAGATGCCGCACCTGCTGCTATTCGCGCAGAGAGGTGCGATGGGGCTGATGAGCAGCAGAGTGGCGGAGATTTGGCAGAGACATGCGAAGGAGGGTCGCACCTGATGCAGCACCATGACGGCGATGCTGTTCGTGTTGGTCGCGATGTCTTTAATCGCCCGCACCACGCGGAACGCACTCGTCGAGTCGAGCCCCGACGTGGGCTCGTCAAGAAAGAGAATCTTTGGGTCGCAGATGATCTCCGTGCCGATCGCGACGCGCTTCCGCTCGCCACCAGACACGCCCCTGAGAAATTGGGTTGCAATGACAAAACGAAGCGAGAAATTCTCCTGTATTGGACCAAAACCAGGGGTTTTCGAATGATTCCTGATGATGATGACGGGCAGTTTTCCACAATGCCTCCTTCCTTCCTTACCTTTGCCCCTCGTCCCCGATCTTCGTTTCCGCCACTTCTGCCAATCCCAGCAATTCGAGCAACCGCGCTACCTTCGCCGCCTTCTCCTCCCGCCTCACGCTTTGCGGCAGGCGAAGCTCCGCGGCGAACATCAGCGTTTCGCGCACCTGGTTACCACACGCCACAAAAAGGAGACGAAGAATTAGCCCGTGTTCTATAAAGTAGAATTTTACGAAAGGACGACAATATGTCGCACATACCGTGAGCGACGGGAACATGAGGTCGTCCTGCATCACATACGCCGAAACTCGTCGCATCGTTCCGCTTCGCACGGGTAACCCGTCAAGCTCCACTTCGCCCGCTCGCCGACCCGATGCTATACGGCACGCCAAGATGTTCAACAGCGTCGTTTTCCCCGCTCCACTGGCCCCCATAATCGCCGTGATCTGCCCCGATTTTGCGCTGCCGCTGATGTCGACGAGAATCCTACGGCTGGAATTACTTCTCACGCCGATTCGCCTGTAAATCGAGCGCTCCAAAGAGCGTAGCTTGCTGCCAGAACCTGAAAACAAGTCTGAGTCGTGGGCTGTCCGCCCTATGTCCGCTGCTGAATGGCTGAATACGGGTTTGAGATTATCGGTACTACAGCCACTACCATTGCGACCAGAGTCGACGTGTATGTGAATTTCGTCGCTCGCCGCGCTTTCGTCGCTAGGCAGCGGCGCGATTTTCGAAGTGTTGATCTTACAGCACGGGTTTTTCCGAGCTCTCGATGCGACAGAGTGCGAAAGGTTACGAAATCGCAACACAGATGTAATCCCACAAGGCGCAAACGAACCTTCGCCCGTGTCGCACATCCCTCCACCGCTTCCGCTCCCGGGGTCGCAATCGCGACCAGCCTCTGCATGATCGCACGCCGACGACGATGACGACGTCGTCGCAGAGTCGTCTGGCGACTCATCCGACTCAGGATCGCGGGGAAACTGCAGCGGCCGTGTCGTCGATTGCCCGCGCCCCCCTAGCACGGGATACGGCGCACAGCGGATTTGATCCCTAGCAACTGAAGCATCTGTCGCAAGCGCGCAGCGCATCGGCTCTCGAACGGCTGAGCTATCTGTTGCTGCTTCGTGCCCCATCCCTCTGTTAACCTGCACGCAACCTCGTGCAATGCCATCATCAGCTGCTTCCGTTGTAGCGAGGTCCTTGGCCAGTTCAGCATCAGGCGGCGGGTCTGCGGATGGAAATCTGTCTTGAGCCCACGACCTCCCGCCGGCTACGGTAGCCATTACTATGAACAAGTATAGTGTGTAGTAATCTGGATCCAATCTAGTGAATACCTTTAGCGGCGCCTAAAAAAAAACGATCCAGACGCTGGTGGAAGCCTTAGAGTTTGGAGGTTTCGGCCAGCTAGCCGCAGGGCACTAGATAAGCGAGGTCGTAAATAGCGCCTGATACTGACAAGTGATTTCTGTCAGAGGCAACATTACCACTGTCATGGTGTAAGCAAGCTTCTGGCACGACTACGACGACTTCGTACCACGACGTTGCCCTTTGTCTTGGCGGTTGCTGGTCGGTTGCGGGGTATACTGAAGGGAACTCTAGTTTACTATGCAAAGGGGCCGTAACTGTAAGGACAGGCAAAACCAGCACGGACCTACCACGAACAAGGTTCAGACTTAGGAGCGTGACGTGTGTTGTTGGACGTTGGGTGGTGAGGTCCAGCTCTGTCAAAACAAGTTGTAGCTTGCCGACATGGTTCCTCTTTGCTGAGAGGGGTCACGGAACTGCATGCTGTGCCCAATTCGAGAGTGAAATTTGTTGGGAAGATGGGAGAATTTGATATTCCAAAGAATCCGCGGCTCGGTTTTCGCTTGTTGCGATACGGGCTGTGAAAAATAGTGACATTGTTAAAGAGAGCGGCACGATGGTGAAATCGGACGGCTGGAAAAGAGGGAAAGAACTGTGGTAGTGTTCGTTAGAGGGGGAACATTTTTCGCGAGTGCGACCGGCGAACCGCAGGTCTCGAAATTGCATACGTGGACATGCTGGTGCTTCCCCCCCGTCGCGCTTCTCGGGAAGATTCTGACTCAACCCCTCACAAGCCCACATCGTGGTCGTACACAAGTCGATTTTGGGCAGCCAGCTAGCTGAATCGATATAGAGACGTCACTTATCCTTACAAGTATGGGAAATGGAACGAAAATTGCACTGTTTAGATTCATTAGACACACACACCTAAAAATGGAGGTTTTATTCAACTTTAATCCTTTGTTAAAAGCACTAATTTTTTTGAAAGAGGTAACATATCAACACGCCAATTATGGTTGTTAGCGGCTGCTTAAAAAATGCTCATTTGTAGTGTAGCATGTATGAAGACAAAACTGTCTACTCAGTAGCGAGTATTAATAATGTTAAATATACAAACATAAGATAATACAGATGCTGTTGGATTTTACTGTAGTATTCTTTTATAAGACTCCCAGCCCTCCAGTAATTGTACAATTATTGGAGGGCCATAATTATTGGAGTCTAGAATTATTGGAGGGTAAGAATTATTGGTGGGTAGAATTATTGGTATGACATTATTGGTGTGGATGAATCCATCCTGAAGGGGTTAGCTGCTTGGATAAATACCCTGCTCTGTCATTTCTTAATCAATACATTCAGTTGCAAAGTTCTCTTGCTATTCTCTTCTATAATCAAAGCTTCCGCTACGACGGCACTATGCCTTTCTAGCAAATAATAATTTACCAATGATCATTCTTTCCAAACAGCTGATCCCGCGACTGCGTTCCTTGTTCAAAGCTAGAATGTGTCTGAAACGCCTCCAAGGGCGCATAACGCAAACCGACGCGAAACCAGAATAGGAAGAACACTTCAGCCACCCAGCTCCGACAAGGCCTAACGGATCTCTGTTTTTGGAGTGAGATTAGCTCCCACTGCATCACAGGCACGGTACCTACTTGCCTACTTGTCAGGAGAAGGAGATCTCGTCATTTTAGCTCTGGAGGAGATATCGTTTCATACCTTCAGCCCCTTCTATCAATCTATAAAAGTTCAGATGGAGCGTCTCTCCTCTGCAAAAAATTCTACGCCTCATTCCATGCCCAAATCTGGGGTTTCCCCATGCATGCGCGCTCACCATTGCACGCGGAACGACTAGGGTATCTTGAAGCATTGTTTTTGGAGAAAAACAATGCTGTACCAATGTCGCGGAGGTGGAAACTGTGAAGATAGTAGGTAGAGTTAGGAGCCATAGCTAGGTAAGTCCTAGCTAGGCACGAGAAGTTTAGGCAAAAGAGGGAGGTTTTCACTAGCAGCAATGAGGATACATATAGCAAACCCTAGATGGGTTGTACTCGCTATAGAGCACCCCACTACAGGCTAGAGAATAACATTCTGACAGAAACAATGTTTCCCCTTCCCCATTATCTCAGCAGCTACTCGCAATTCGCATCCCAGCAGTCCCACACGTGCGAATTTGTTGTGGTGCAGCAGACATGCTACGGTTGTATTGGATGTACAGCGGTGCAATTGCGATACATCGAACCCATGTTTACGGTTCTTTGTTGCATCGGCAGAAATTGTGGCATTATACAGTGATAGTCGCGACTATGACGAGTTTTTTTCAGATAAGGCCTTGCTGACGCGTCAAGAAGATGTGAGACTTAATCCCTGTATTGTCACACTTTGGTGTGACAGCGCGGATGTGCCTTGCGACTGCTGTGGCACTCAATCTAGGGATGAGGCCAAATCGACACCATCCAAGTTGTCGCACGTCACTTCGCTAATATTTCGCCAACCCGCTCGTGACAAATGATACCACGGCAGTCCTTTTTGGGGTGCGTGACACTTCTCTCGCTATTTAAACTCCATCCACAGCTCAACACTCATTCATTCACACACATTAGTTTCAGTGCTCCATTTTTCTCAACTTGCACGTTTCTCCAGCAGAGTCCCTATAGTCCTGATATATTCGTTTCCGCGTTGCTCTGGTAGAGTGCGTGTTCTCCCTGATGTATGCTGTACTAAGTCCGTGTCTATATTCTGTTCGTCTTACTTCCTTCCTTTGGCAGGATTTTGAATGTTTGCCGCGGCTGCTCGTATATCGCGATGACCGTACGATCTCACACCCTACACTCGCTGCCATTCATGTGCGAATTAGGTGAGTTGTTGTTTCACGCTGACACGACCGTGTGGGAATATTTTTCTGTGCATATACTTACTCTCGCATAACGTCAGCACGAGGTTATCGACTTCGGACATTATCATTTTCGCTGGAGCTGTTTTTTTTTTCCCTAACTGCTCATGTTTTTATCGCCATACCAACGCTGAGTTTATGCGTGTTTCTGAATGTATGCACTTTCCGCATATCGTTCCTACTTACATTATCACCGACATCAAAGGTATGCCTCTTTTTGGGATGTTTTTGGAACGCCCTTACTATTCGGACCTAAGTCCGTGGTCTGTGGTGCTGAGTGCTAAATTCCTTTCTTTTTTAACTAAGGGTGGTTACCGACTGTTGTTGTTGTGCTCTGTGCAGCTGTATTGTAAGCGGGTAATAGCTAGGATTTGTGCTCTAATCCCCTACTTATGCTTGTATCTACCTGTGAAATATAACAATTCTAATTCAATGGCAGATTTATAATGATAACTGTTTTGCTCCGTTATAGCAAGCCATTTTAGGAGTTTTCCTAGCTGTTGTAGCAAGTATGGGCAATGTTGCTTGCCGAGCCTTCGAAAGATTGCTCACACACTCGTTGCCGAGCCTGCGGAAGATTGCACAATGTTAGCACAAAGCTCATGCACTCCTTGCCCAGCCTTCGATGGTTTGCTCACACTATCGTTGCCGAGCCTGCGGATGATTGCTTAGGCAAACCTCGGGATGAAACATCAAACAAACCTCTACAGTTGAGCAATGCACATGATAAACCACGAGCATTGGTGCCCCGTAAGTACTTTTAGCAAACCCTACGCACTGCATAGACAAAGTTAGGGGTCAAATTTTTTTGCAGGGTCACACATAGATCGACTTCCAGATGACCTTCTTACGAGGATTTTATGGTTTCAGGATGCGACGCCTTCCGAAAAAGGTTCTAATTCTTCTTGCGTCTTGCTTCCTGATAGGCATTTTCGAGCGAACAAGCTTATTTCTCTATCAGATGCAGCTTACAATCTGCTCATCGCGTCCATATGCAGTCGCTGGCGTTATCTAGTTAAACGTCAGGTCACCAGCATGTTAGTCCAAGTGAACCGTTTCGTATCTCGTCAAGATCTGGCCAACGCCGTGGTTTGTTTTGACAACCTCACCAGTCTT